TCTATTTTCCAAACAAAAATAATCTGCCCTGATTGTTACTGAATGGTTACAGTGACCTTTTCTGTGCAGCATGGTGTCTTTTGTAACACACCTAGGCTCACTCAGTGTATAAAGGGTCATCCCGCTGGAAGCGAATCCAGACCTTCTGCACCCAAAGTGTATTTTTCCACTGCTTAAGCTTGGAGATGGCTAATATTGAAATTAAAGTAACTGGTTGTTATGTGAGTAGAGCGGTTTTCAGGAAGTGAATTGATCTCCCAGACTCTGCAGCCTGCTGCTGCCACGCTTGCTCTCTTTTCCTTTCTAATCAGCTACTCTCTTTGCTATATACAATTGGAGACCCCTTAGCAAGCCACCTGTGAGCACTGCCCTCACCCCCTCCAAGAAAATGTGACTGATTCCATTTAAATAAAAGCCTAATAAAAGCTAAAATAATAGCTGAAATAATAAAAAGCTAATTTAAATAAAAGCCTAATAAAAGCCTGGTACAATCAGGTAAGTTACTGGTCATAGGCACAGAGAAGGCATGCATACACCACATGCATAGCCAGGCAAGAAACTACACTCTTAAGAGTAGTAAGGATGCAGCAAAAAGGAAAAAAAAAAGTTTACAGCTGAATCATCTGGATTTTATCTGTAGGGAGAATTCTCTCTCCTTTTAAATTCTGCCTGGAGGTTATTCAACCTTATACCGACATCGAAACAACTGAAATAGTGATGGAAGTCCCAGGTTTTGTGACTCTGCAGGCGCTGCAGAGTACTAATGTGGGTGCGCTTCACTGCTGTGATCCTGGAGCCCAGTAGTCAGAGGAAACATATCTCAAATAGAAAATGTTCCAAAAGCTTACCAATTCCAATGGTGATCATCAGCATCAATACAAGAAATACGCCTAGGCCACAGACTGTGAAAAAGAAGATCATTAATGGTTTTGTATATATGAGCACTTAGGCTCAGACCATATTTTAGTATTAAGTGAGACAGCAGCAGGATAGCCTTTCATTTAAGCTCCCAGTATGTAAATACAAAGTACTACTGAAGTCAAACAAGGCACCCTGCATTGACATTTATGTAACTGGACAGTTCGATAAAATGGCCAACTATCACGTAATTTGCATCTTTTTTGATCCGTATACACCCTAAAATTTTCCACAGATGTGCAGATCCCTGTATGGCAAATTTAAGCCTTCCAGTCCCAAGTTTATCATCTCCTCTATGTTTTGCAGACCTCTTAGCAATAACCTCTGGAGGCCGAGAACTCATAAGTCATCACTAACTCCAATCAAGCTACATCCATGTTTGGAAAACAGGAGAATGTTCTCAGGCAATTCAAACATTAAAGGCTGAGGTTCAGAGTACAGCTGCAGTCTTGAATCAAATGTATTTTCTCTTTGTCACAAGCTGGCCTTCACACACAAATTTAAATGCAGATGTGCAAGCTCATCTGTTGCAAAGGCACAAACTATTGTCTCTAATGAGGTTTGGCTTCACTTCCTACATCTTATCCAAGAGTATTTCATGCAGGTAAACTACCACGTGGAAGAATGCCCATTTTCACACAAAAGGATCAGACATACACAGTTCACACTTGGATCAACAACAGATACAGTTAATTTCCTTCCTAGTAGCTGGTACAGTGCTGTGTTTTGGATTTAGGGTGAGAACAATGTTGATAACACACCGATGTTTTAGTTGTTGCTGAGCAGTGCTTACACTAGTCAAGGACTTTTCAGCTTCCCATGCTCTACCGACTGAGAAGGCTGGAGGTGCGCAAGAAGCTGGGAGGGGGCACAGCCAGGACAGCTGACCCAAACTGGCCAAAGGGATGTTCCATACCATGTGACGTCATGCTCAGCATATAAACTGGGGGCAGTTGGCCAGGGGGCGGCGATCACCGCTCGGGGACTGGCTGGGCATTGGTCAGCGGGTGGTGAGCAATTGCATTGTGCATCACTTATTTTGCATATTCTTTTATCATCATCATCATCATCATCATTATTATTATTATTATTTTCCCTTCCTTTTCTGTCCTATTAAACTGTCTTTATCTCAACCCACACATTTTACTTTTTTTTTCCCGATTCTCTCCCCCATGCCACTGCAGGGGCAGGGGGGCAGTGAGCGAACGGCTGTGTGGTATTTAGCCGCCTGCCGGGTTAAACCACAACACAGTTATCTTAATTTTTGTGACTACAGCTTTGCCTAGAAGTAAACTCCCAGGTTTTGTCTTGTCCAAGCCAGGGGATCTGGAACTAGATTTGGAGCGAGACTTCAGACTTCCTGCAGGAAGGTGTCTTACCTAACACCAAAGAAAAAATCTTACATTTTGCCTGACGGAACCACTCTTTACAGCACCTCCCTGTCCTCCGCACCCATGAACTAGCTGCCACTTCTCGTCTGGCATCTTGTCTGACATTAGCGAAGTCTACATTCCCAACAGGTGTTTGTGCCATCCGGGTGGTCTCAGCCTCCTGTTCATCTTCAGACTCCATCTACAGCTGGAAAACAAAGAAAGAAGCTATGTTTAATGAGTGCTGCCCTACTGTCTGTAAACAAGTGGAAATAGTAGAAATCCCAAAGCTGCCTTAGTTATTGACTGTACCTGAGGGGATGAGGGCAGAGAAATGAGGAAACAAATAGAAAATAAGGAGCTTGTGCAACATATCTGAGGCCCACCAAAAGGAGAAGGTGGGCGTCAGATACATTGCACATATCCCCCTTCCCAGGGAGGGGGGCGATGGGCAATGAGGACTGTAATGGAGGGAAAGGGAAGGACAGAGCAGATGGGAACAATGTGATAGGGAAGGGATGGGGCATATCAAGGCAGGAGAGAAAGGCCACAAAAAACAGGGCTTTCCACTTCACCACTATGTAGCTTAAAGTAGTTTTGTCTGCATGCGAAAAGTTCAGGCAGTTTCCCAAGTGAGGCTGAACCTGGTCTGCAGAGGGAAGCTCACTGTACCCTTTTGTGCTCACTCCAATGAGTGATGTTTTCCTCACAGTTTTTCTTAAATCCTGCTTTCAATGACATAAATTTAACAGAAAAAGTTGCCCAGAGAAGAATATGCAGCTATAAACATTATTGTGTCAGGGCAGAAATGTCAATTCATCTTCATGAGTTATGAAGGTTATAATAGGGGAAAAAAAAACCCACTCCTCTTTCTAAGGCTTCAACATCTTTACTTTCATTACTGTTATTAATGTTAATTGGCACATGCCTAAGAGGCCTCCTCAACTCCACAAATTCACAACAGTAACTGGGTGCCTAAATATCTCTAAGAATCAGACTCCACTTGCGCTTGGCCCATCCTACAACAGCAGAAGGAAGCTAAGGCTTGGAATTACATTCGCCAATAAGGTGCTCTTTCTCCAAAGACTCTTCTGATTACTCCGAACACATCCCCAAAACACTTTGTCCGTTTTAGTGCCTGAATATTCATTGTTTGGTACCTGAATGCATATTTGCTCGTGGGCTGGGCCTCTTGCCTCCAGCGAGCACGCTACGCTTTGCTGCTGTCCTGAAAAAGCACTGATTTTGGCTTCAGCCACAGAGGAGTTTCTCCTGAACCTTCTTATCCACATCAGGGAGAAAGCCTATTTATTCCCCACCCTTGGCTTTTGGGATGGAACAGTGAGCAACACAGCCAGCTGGGGTACAGGTGAGCTACCACCCTCTGTAACACAAGGCATCTCTTGAAGGCAGATGCTGGCGAATGTGTTTCAAAGAACGTTTGGAAGATTTAAGAAAAACATGCAGCCTAAAGGCCAGCAATTTTTGAGTCACAAAAAATATTTCCATTTCTGAGAGCTTATTCAGCTAAAGAAATTTGCTCTCACTTTTTGTGACGCACTTTTTCCTTTGGAGGAAACACCAGCAGGAGCTCCGTTTGTTCAAGGCCGCAAGACAAGGGCAAGTGAACCACTGGGGCCCAGGCCGCCCCCACTTCAAACAGCACATTTTCCTCCCGTTTAGTCCTCATTTTCCAGCT